GCATGGGCTGGCGGGCTCGCCTCAGTCAGGAATGACCTTGTTACATTGTTGCTCGGGTGTGCTCTGCAGCAGCTTCGCTAAGCAGGCCCCACCTAAGAAGTCCCGACTCCCACCTAAACCGCAGCCCAAGTGCAGTTAACCTCAGCGTATTTTTTATGGTGCCAAAGCCTAGGAGCTCCTTCCGGCTATGGCTGGCCAATCGGGGCGAGGCCTTCGACCGCTGTACTTGGGATTTGGGGCGATGGGATCCGTTTGCGTCTTTTGTGGGGATGAAGGGGGGTGTAGCAGGACGAACAGGGGAAGTGGATGGCTGCTTTCCCAGAGTGGATTCGAAGTTTGGAAATTGCTGCTGTCAGGCTTGGTTACTCGGGATGAACACCACGGCTTTTTGTTCAGTCGAGTTGCAGACTCCGGTAGGTGTATTGCCTCGGGCTGGAAACTCTTTTTCGAGATTCTGTAGCCAGTCGCGGGTTTTGTGAATGGTGTATCAGTGCGCAAGAGACTGCATCCTGACCAGGCTGGGGATGAGGGATGAGGCTTGTGTTCGGGATGCAGGCGGGGCCAAGGCAGGCAAGGTTGGGATGAGAAAGGGCACCAGCCCAAACAGTTCCCTTGCTGGAGACGGGCACTCGTCTTGCAGGTTTTGTTTTAGTAGCGTCGTACTTGCACTGGTCGTAAATCTCGAGCGGGAACAGATCATCCGCAAGAAAGCTGGGGAACAACTTGGGTGAACACTGAGTCGATGGATCGTGTGTTGTGGTTGGTTGCTTTGAGCACCAGCAGCTTTCGTGCAAACAATCCTGTACAGCCGATCCCATCCAGTCAAAATGACGGGATGGGGCTGCTCGAACGAGCGAGGGGTGGGGCCTGCCCACTCCTCATGCCCCAGAGCAAAGCAAAGAGACAGAGAGAGAGAGAGAGAGAACGATAAATGCTGTATTTGTGCACTAGCTGCTACGGCGTACTGTTGAGCTTGTTCCCCAGAACGAGACGCCCGCCCGTGGTGCGTCGGAGCCCGAAGTCTTTCGCACGAACTACACCGTGCGTACATCCGTCGGGGGCTTGCCCTCAGGCCTGGGGAAAGAAAGAGACAGAGACGGGGAGGGAGAGAGAGAGAGAGAGGGAGAACGCCTTCAAGCCCGCTTTCAGCTTCGCAGGGTACGGCTGTCATCCGATCGCAGGAGGAGGTGATCGATTTTTTGCCTCCTGGCAGCATTGAAAACAAACTTTTAAAGTAAAGGGTCCAGGTGCTGAGGATGTGCAACAAATTTCCGAGCTTTGCCTCGGGGAGTGATGCATAGTGCCGTTGGATTCAGACATGCTTCCAGGCGGCTCTCCGAGTTTGAGGTTCGGAGTTTGCGACTTTGGGATTGGAGCGTGGTTGTCGGTTGCTGCGCGGATGACGAGCATGACAAAACTGGCGAGAAGTGAAAGCATCGGTTCAGTCGGTTCAACATAGTCCAGTGCATCGAAATCCGTCCCGAAGCCCCGGTTGAACATCGCTTCAAGGGCCGAGGCCGGCCCTTCTCAGGGTGTTCAGTCTTTGTGATCAGTACCGATGGTTGATGACTGCCATCCTGACGATCCGGTGTCGAGCTCCTGTGCTCAGGGCCGATCTGCTGATCCGCGGGCTCACGGACCTTGGCGAGACTCCGATGCCAGGAGGCTCGTGGATACGGTGTGCAGGGCTTTCGGGCTTCAGGGCTTCTAGTCTGGATGGGATAGAAGGGTTGAAAGAGGGTTCTGGGTTCTTTGAGGCTGTCGCGTTTCATGCTTGATGCTCGCTTCGGTTGGAAGCGGGATTTGGCTTTCGAGGTTTCAGCTGCAGCTATTTGAGATTAGCAGAGGCTTCGCAGGCTGGATGCAAAAGCTATTTGAGATTGAGCGTGGCTTTCGGTCCATTTGCTTTATCAGTATCGGTCTACTCTGGTCTTTGTGTGGGCATTTGTGTGTATATGTATGTGCGTGTACGTGTATGTGTGTATAATAATACATATTACACACACACACATATATATATATATAATATATATATATATATATATATATATATATATATATATATATGCAGACAAACAGATAGACAGAGAGCGAGAGGTGTTTGTGTTTGTTGGTTGTATGCATGTCTTGGTCATGGAGCTGTTGCAGATTCTTCACGGTTTCCTGCGTTTTGGGTGTTTATTGCCTTTGGCTCACGCTGTGTCTTGCTGGTTTGTCGCTTCGGGTTGTGGTGATGGGGTGCGAAGGCAGCTGTGCCAAGTGTAGACTGCTGCTTGGGGATCCTACAAGAAGGGTCTCTTCCTATGAGAGTGATGTAACCGTTTGGGAGGCAGTAATCTAGACAACTGTACATTTGTTTAAGACACGCACCACGAGTTTCACGTAAAAGTCGAGAACCTGTGGTGTGGAAGTATGACATCGGTTCGCCACTTGAGAGCTCCATTGCATTTCTGGTCAGTGACAGCCAGGCCGAAACCATCTTATCTCACGTACTTCTGGTAAGGCTGCTGCCCGACGGGCGCCTGGCTGATGCGGTCCCTGACGCTGAGGCCGGAGCCCATACTTGTCGGTTTCGTCGACGTGTTCTCGGGTCTCAAAGGCTTTGCTTGTGTCGGTTGCAGCTCTTTCGGCAAAGCATAATTACTGTAAGGTTGAGGGTCTCCATTTGTCGTCCTCACTCCGGTGCAGGGGCACGGGGGGGAAGGAGGGAGAAGGGGGGAGGCAGTCGGCTTTCGCATTAGAGCCAACTGCAAGGACAGCCTATGAACATCGTGGGCAGCTTGATTGAGAACTGTTGCCGAAAGACTGAAGCCCGAGAGCCTTGCATGCCAGAGGTACTGGGAACCGGAGACAGAGAAGGCGAAGAACGCCGCACGGGCTCCGGAGGTGGGCTTCACAGGTTCTGCGCGTACAAGGAGTCAACAGGTCTAGAAGTGGGCGTGCGCACAGTGTATTGGCACGGCTTTTTGGTTGTTATTTCAGGCAAGAGGTTGGCAAACACGTCTGGCTTTCATAAGCCTGTGGGTAGGTTATGTCTGCAAGCCTATGGTGAGCCTACACACAGAAGCTTAACCCCGACTTGACTCCGGAACTCCGCAGCAGGAACTGTGATTTTGCTTTGGAGCCGGAAAGAAGGATCTGCGGCCCTAGGGCCCTATCGATTTGGTATCAGGGCGAATGACTTCATGGTTCAGGTTGGGGTTTTCACCTTGACTGTTGCCTTCCAAGCCGTAAACTCCTGAACGAGCAAACTTGCTGACGATCTTTGCATCAGGTTCTTGCACGCTGCTTCGCGAAGATCCTCTCGGAGCACAGTGGGCGTGACTCGATCTTCTCTATAGACGAAGGTTCATACGCTACTGAGTACTACGGTGGAGCCTAGGACTTTGGGGTGGCACGGTTTCGGGGCCAGTGAGAAATTCGTAATTGGGGTTCGAGGTCTGGCCAGACATCAAGCTCAGTGGGAAAACGGGCTTCGGGATGCCTCCAGAATGCAGGGCTTGCACCTTCCAGAGTCAACGTTTGGAGAAGAGTGAATTAAGCCCAGCTCCTTACCCGATTCTTGTAGATCTGGGATTACGCATTGGTTGCGTCCCACTATGATTCCGTTCACACGCGACCGCTTACACGGCCAATGTACGCGAGGCGAACCCGCGCGCGCTGTCCTGGATTTCGTCACTGGGAGTGGGGCATATGTCCTGCGCCGGTGAGTGGCCCGTTCTTTCGTGGGACTATTTTCCCGGATGCGTGGCCCGAGGGTTTCGGGTTCGGGGTCCAGGGGTGGCCGGAGATGAATGTTTACCCGATACTGTCTTACCCAAGGTATTGCAAGGCCAACATGGTTGAGAGTCGATGGCGGATTTCCGTCACGATTTCAGTGCTTCACGTTTGGGGATTTCCAGAAGGACTTCGACGGCTGACTCCCTGAAGAAATATAGTAGGTGGTAGGTAGTATGTAGTAGGGTTGAAAAAAAGGGGAGGTGGCGTTTCATGAGGTTAAGAAGCGAGGGCCAGGGTGTTTCGGATGGTTACGGAGGGGGTTTGGCCCAGTTGAGCTACTTGGTTTTGAGGCGTACTTGTATAAACATCTGATCCTGAGTGTTTCCTGCCTATCGCCGGCACCTGAAGCATGGGGATAGGAGGGTTGAACCCCATCCCCAAAAAATCAGGCGAGACCATGGCACTACAGAGGAGGCCCAGCAACCTCCGTGTCCTGACTTAGCAAAAGAATTTGCAACCTTGAAGAGGGTCACCCAACTACACCTAGTTCCACGTTATAAATATCACAGGGCAGTGAGGTAGCGCTGAAAGACCATAGAAGGATTCCTAAACCCCACTAAAGCAGCAAGGTAACCGACATAACAGGTTCTTTCCGTCGCATAGTTCCGCCAAGCTTGTCTGACAGAGTGGATGTACGCTGGGGGCAACCTGACGTCAGGCAGCAAGCCCGTCTCAACTGGAATCCACGCCCTGATCCCAAACCCTTCAACCCTGCTAGACGCTTAGGACCCCGAAGAACCCCGAGGAATGGAGACCCGAATTAAAGCGTTTAGCAGCCCCAGTTCCCTCGAAGAGGAGGACTTCGGTGCTGCAAAGACCATTGTCGCGGGAAGAAAGTGGGCTCCAGGTTTCCCATGCGCGTTGAAAGCTTGCAGGATGAGGAATCCAGGCTCGGACTATGAAGGGTTAAGAAGGCTTCCAGGGTGTTTGCTGACCAGCACGGAAGTGGAGGGAATTTTGGTCTGGGCCGCCAGATGCAAGTTCCATGGGAAAGCATCTCGTGGGAAGGCTCCGGGTCGAGATGTGGGGGTTGAGGGTGCAGTTTGCAAGTTTCACAGGTCTGTGAGGCTCAATATATTTGGACAGTACCGCTTCAGCATAGCAATCTGTAGGCACTACATCTGAAACCGGTACCTCGAAGCCGAGACGCCTTCTACACCTCCACCTTTGCAGCTGTCTCCTGATCAAGTCGTGGGGCGGGAGCTGAAACATTTGTTGCC